CTGGGGTGTGGTGAGGCACTGTTCCAAACTTTAGGCTTTTTCATGCTGCTATTTTAAGACCTAGTTTTGGGGGTCTGCAAGTTTTCCATGCTTCAAGGGTAGTGTGATCTAGGGAGAGCTGTGGTCACTGTTCTGCTGGTTTGTGCTCTGGTCTTTACCTGGAAAAGGGCCCCTGGTCTCTTGCAGCTGCAGGAGCTAGTGCTTCTTTTGGCCCTGGAGCTGTGACCATGCCTACTTCTCTCCTTCAGCCACAAACACTAGTGCTCCTCTCTGCCTTGGAACTGTGGAACAGGCTCCTGCTCCCTATGGTCAGGCTCCAGAAAGAGCTCCTTTCAACCCTAGCACTGGGACCCAGAACTGCTTATAGGCAATAGAGATGCCAATCAGCACCAGCTGTACCCAGTGCCAGCAAAGAGTCCCCTTTAATCTCTTTCTGACCAGTTGTCTGACCCGTTACTGTATCTGGTCTGAGAGCTCCCAAAGCTGCTGCTAGTACTACTGACACAGCCGCCCCCAAGGCCCACCAAATGAAATATTTATTAAGTTTACTATGTATTCTGCATGCTATGCTAAATGCTGGTGATGTAGATAGAAAAGTAAGACAGTCCCTGCTGTCATGGAGCTCACCTCCCAATGAGGGAGATGACATATAGGAGGTTCCAGCTATAAGTCAGAGAGAAAGGTCCTGTGGTCCTTCGGATGCAACAGCAATGCAGGTGATAATGCTTCTTTTTAAATGTCATTTCCACTGATCAAGTTCTATCTGTTTTTGATACTGAAACATTTGACAGTGCCAAATACTTTAATGGCAAGAACTACTTTTTTTTTTTGTCCTGGAGCTTCAATAGATGTGCATGTAGTACTTGCAGGTGCCATTGCCAGGCTGCATCTCTACAGAAGTTGCTTCCCAGGATGATGACTGTGGGAAGTGGGTTGGAAGCATTTCTATTCCAAAGGCTCTTGGGTTCAAAGTCCTAGATGATCTCCATCAGGGTCTAGGGGGATATGGGAGTCTAAGCGGGTGATAGTCTCTTTCTCAGGGTCCCTACTGCTTCAGCTAGGCAGGCTTGTCTGCCCTGTGCGTGGCCTTTGGTTGGTTAATGGGCATGGCTGGCCTCTCTCCCTAAGAAGAGTTGTTTCCTCAGATGATGGCTCTTTCTTTCTTTTCTTTCTTTTCTTCTTTTCTTTTCTTTTCTTTCTTTCTTCCTTTCTTTCTTTCTTTCTTTCTTTCTTTCTTTCTTTCTTTCTTTCTTTCTTTCTTTCTTTCTTTCTTTCTTTCTTTCTTTCTTTCTTTCTTTCTTTCTTTCTTCTTCTTTCTTTCTTTCTTTCTTTCTTTCTTTCTTTCTTTCTTTCTTTCTTTCTTTCTTTCTTTCTTTCTTTCTTTCTTTCTTGTTTTCAGTATGGGCTGGGTTGGAAGCATGGCCAGTGAGTAGTCTGGCGGCTGCTGCCACTTTCCAGAGCTCTTGTACGTATCTGCCTGTTGGTGGCACTTGGTCAGTGGTTGTTGCTGTTGGTGATGAGGAAGATGGGCCTCTCCCTTCTCCACAATTACTTCTCTCAATAATGGATGTGGCAGATGAGCTGGAAGCAGGCCTGGTGGTTTAGGATATATTGCTATTCTCAGAGCTCTTCTGTTCAGGATTTGAGAGGAGATGGTGGTCAAGGTGGTGGTAGTAGTTTGAATTGCTTGGCATAATCTGCCTCCTGTCTTTCCCTCAGGGGTCTTTGATGCTTCAGCTAGACTGAGAATTGGATAGAAGTAGCAAGGTGAATTCTTTCATAAATGACAACCATCAGCACCAATGTGGACAAAGTAAAACATTTTCATGATTGAGCAAGTTGGACATAATGCATACTTCAAAGATGATCAATATGAGCAATGATATACATAGAGTTTTCCAAGTTATCATAAAAGGAATCAACTTATTGAAATAGTAGTTCATTGGGGCAGCTAGGGGGCACAGCGGATAGAGCGCTGGCCCTGGATATGGGAGTACCTGAGTTCAAATCCTGCCTCAGACACATAACACTTACTAGCTGTGTGACCCTGGGCAAGTCACTCAACCCCATTGCCCAACCAATAAAATAGAGTGAAATAAAATCACAGTTCGTTAAAAGGAAAGTTCTTTGCAAAACAGTGTGACAAAATGGGAAAAGAGCATAGGCTATTTCTATATTACTGAAAAAAAAAACAACCCTGGCTTTTTTGAACCAAAGTACTTAAAGGATGTTTGAGCCAAAAGAAGAAATAGCCACTCTTCTTAGTGATCATAATAAAAATAAATCAAATTCATTTTATAACAAAAAAAATTCCTTCTAAAAATACGTATTTGGTGTATATCATTGAAGAATCGAGTGATCTAAATAAATCAATGTGAGTTCCTCAAATTTGTACTCTGACTCAGAAAGGTAAAGTGGCTGCATTTATGAAAAAGAGCTTTGGACAATAAATTTATGAAATGATATTTTATTGTTTCCTAATTTAAAATATAACTGATCTGCAAATTAAATAGAAGAAAATAAAGACTTCCTTATTAATCAATGGATTGGTCTACCTACAGAAGTAATTTTCACTTTATTTTTAAAATCTAGGTACTGTTAAGTAAATGAATAAGGAACTCATTTGCCATGGACAAATTTAATACATTTGATCTTATTCCATCTGAATAAGTATGGTTAATAGACTTGTCTTCTGATACAAGCTTTGGAACCTGAAATTCCCATTATTTAAGATTTTAACAGATCTCCATCTCTCTCTTTTGGCTATAGACGTGTATCATTTCCTGATCTAATAGGAAAAAAAGGCAGTGCAAATTTTACTACCATTCATAACATCTTATTTGTGTGCAACAGAGCTTTTTGTTACAGTTGTTGTAAAGACAAAATATCAATCTTGATTAGTGGTTGAAAAATAATAACCTTTAATATCATTAATGATGACACATTATGAGAAACTTTGCATTACTTGAAATGAAGAGCAAGCCCATCCATCACATTCCTAAAGACATGCTGCTGCTGCTGCTGCTGAACTTATGGTCATGGGCATTGTAAAGGATTTTATCAGTAAACATATTTGTATGTGACATTATTTTATTATAAGTTTAAGATTTACTTGTATAAAATGATAAAAATTCTTAACTTTATTTGAATAAAATGAGCTAAGAAATTATTTGTATAAATTATGTAATAATCTATATTTGTATACATCATACAGATTTGTATAGATAGTGTGAGGGGGAATAATAATTTTTGTAAAAAAAGAAATGAAGTGGGATGGGGCATCATTACATAGTTTGGAAGCCACTGGGCTGAAGTGATTAGCCCTGCTCAGGCATATTTGTGTTGTCATCTCTACTCTGCTATGCTTGGAGAAGCATGCCAAGAGCTCTAATGGGCTGTCACACACAGAAGGGTTGTCGGTTTTGATTCTCTGGTTAACAAGGTCATCATTTCTCAGGAAGAGTGGCACCACTGTTCTAGGGATAGGAGGGTGTTGAAAGGTTGGACCTGAACCTAGGTCATGCAGAGAAGAGGGATAGGAAAAGAAAGAGGAAATTACCATTACAGAAGAAAACCTAACAGAAAATTTCCATGTTAAGAAGAGGCATTTTTGTCCCAAAGATCTCTTAAATCCTTCCCTGTTATCACAGAGTAGGACAATTCATATTTATAAAATACCGTGTAACTAAAGTACAGAAACTAACCCAATCCATTTACCCTGAATCTTGTAGCTCTGTCTTCCCAATTGCTTGAGTGTTTGATGGGGTTATGAGTCAATAATTCAGCCTTCAATCAAGCCCTTTCCTTTCTAAGGGTCCTAGCTAGAGCTATGCCCTGAATGGACATCCTTTTCCCATCACTTCTTCTGACTTACCCAGTTATAGGATGTTCTTTCCTAGGGATGCAGCCTCTAGGTAAGATTTCAGAGGGCAGGCCCTTTTGACCCGTTACAATTTGTATAGTGGAAAGAGCACTGGATTTGGAGTTAAAGGACCTGGGTTTGAATCCTGGCTCTGCTTATTTCCTATGTGACTGCAGGAGAGTTATTTAACCCCTTCGTATCTGTTTCCTCACCTGTAAAATGAGAGGGGATGAACAAGATGGTATCTAGGGCTCCTTCCAACCCCAAAGCTGTCATCCTATGATTCAATGTTGCTTTTGTACTTTTTTGGCCAAAGATAACAGATGAGAATTTCTAAATTTGTCCAGGCCAAATCTGAACCCAGGTCTAGCACTCCAACTGCTATTAAGGGTTTTTAGCCTGAAGAAAGATGGGAAAGGGAGGATTATAGCTTTCTTAAAATATTTGAAAAGCTGTCATATAAAAGAGAAACCAGACTTATTGTGTGAATCCCCCCTTGGCGCAACTGGGACAAGTGAATGGAAATTTCAGAGAGGCAGATTTTGGCAAAAATAAAAGGAATATTTTTGTAGCAACTAGAACTGAAATGGGCTTCCTGGTGTGGAAGAAATGCCTGTCACTGTAGAAGGGATTTTGGTGGAAATGGATTTTACCTAGCGTTCCCTCCAGCAGCAATAAGATCATATGACTGATCAGTTTGTTTACCCAGCATGTGACAGTCATACTTTCCTTCTCTCCATAAATAATATGCTTATTTAATCACTTCTCCTCTCCAACTACCCTCACTCTCCAGGAAGATTGATGTGCCAGTCCCTTACCAGGCTGTGGAGCAGGGATGGGGTTCAAGATTAGCCAGAGATCAAATGGTTTAATCCTATTCACAAATTCCCTTTGCCTCTCCCCAATCCCTATCATGGGACTGCTCTCCCCAGGCTCCTCCTAGTTAAGGACAAGGCAGAGAGAGGAAAGACTTGGCAATAGACCTCCATTCCCATGCCTTTCCTTTACACCCTGATGAGCACCAATGGGCTATGCCTGAGGGACACAGTAACAAATTTCCCAGCCCTGAAGTTACCATTTATGTGGCCTGGATTTTCAACCTTGTTCTTTCTTCACTTGCACCAGCAGGAACGTTCCACTAAACTCTTGCTCCTTTAACCCATCCACCCCCTCATCTGCTTTCACCCTTTGTGAGGTTTGAATGGATTCCCTTAGCATCTCCCTGATTAAAAGTGAAAAGCTGAAATGAGTAATTCCTTGTGACAGGACTAATCCTAACCTGGTGACCTGACAAAGCTTTCCTCACCCACCAGCCTCCAGGGCACCTCAGCCACCTAGTGGGGCCCCAGTCTCAGGACTCAGAATCTCTAAGGGAGAGAGGGTAAGTCCTTGCTGGTAAGTCTGCTTTGCTGTGGTTCAGCATAGGAAGCATCACCCCAGGGGAACCATTCAGTGTTGCTTTCAAAGACGGGCCCAACTAACTATTTTTTTCAGATTGGTCCAAATCCAGTCTCAATTAGGCTACTTCAGGGAATGAGCGACATAGGAAGGGAGTGAGGGCTGCCTAATTTAACAGTATTTTAAACTAATACTGTGCTGAGTGCTGCTTTTTTTCAAAGTCAGTGGTTCATAGTCACTTTTGTAAAAGGATAGGTTTAACTGCCTTCTTTTCAAAATAGCTGAAAGCTGCCTGCTCCAAATGGCCAATGTCCTCAAGGCTGTTCAGCTGGGCTGTTCCATGGGCCAGAAACTTCCTGGCTTGTCATCCCTCTGGCTTTAGTGTCTGTGAGTATTACATTTTCTCTGTGGGCTGTCTAGGGATGGACCCCAGAGATGGAGGTTCTCTTTGCTCCTCTATTCCCATGATAAGCCCATCTTAGAAGGCAACAGTTTTCTGTCTGTCTATCTGGAAATCAACCTGCTTCAGCCTGTCCTTGTAGATTCGTCTCCAGTTGGTCTGGCCATCTGACTTTCTCTGTTCTTAGAGAGGGTTTGGTAGATTCTCGTTAATTTGCCAGGCTCCCTCAGTTCTTCTCTGTTCAGTGATAGGTTCCAGGTTGTGTGCTGTTTGGGAGGGTGGGATCCAGTATGGAGACAGGGAGGGACATTTGCCTGTATCTGGAAGGAAACATCGGAGTTTCTTGACTTCAGGTATCAAAAACAAATCTGTTTATAGGCTAAGGGGTTAGAGATGTAGTCCGGGTTCCCTACTGTAGTTCCAGTAAATACATGGGTCATCCATTAGAGGGAAGGAAAAAAAGAGGTGAAAAAACATAAAAGTGGCGGGAAAGAGATGGAACTAAGGGACAGAGAGAAGGGATGAGGTAGTCAGTCAGTCAATAATCATTTATTAAGTGCCTACTATGTGCCAGGCACTGTACTAAGTATGAGAAGCACTGTGATAAGAACTAGAGAGGGAATAGAAGAGAGAAGAGAAAGAGAAGGGTAGGGAGGAAAGAATGCGAAAGAGGCCTGAGAAGAGAGGAACAAAAATGGGGAGAGGAAAAAGGTGGAAGGAGAGAGAAGAACAATAGAGACTGATAGAGGGGAGGGTGAGAGAAAGCAGAACTGCACGGGATGGAACACAGAGGAAGGGAAGAAGGGGAGGGACTTGAAAGGGGGCGTCGGAGGTTGGAGTAGTTCAGTGCTGCAGGGTAAAATCACTCTAGAAGTAGATTAATTGCTAGCTTTTGTATTTTAAAAGCCCCTCTGTTCTGCATAAGCATCTGGCTTTCTATCCTTGTCTCTATCACTTTCTATGCATTTGGGAGTGGGGAAGCAACTCAAAAAGACATTCTATACCAAGGGGGCTTGGTGGTGCAGTGGACAAAGTTCGGGGCCTGGAGTCAGGAAGACTCATCTTGAGTTCAAATTTGACCTCAAACACTTACTAGTTGTGTGACCCTGGGCAAGTCACTTTACCCTCTTTACCTCAGTTTCCTCATCTGTAAAATGAGCTGGTGAAGGAAATGGCCAACCACTCCAGGATCTCTGCCAAGGAAACCCTAAATGGGGTCATAAGGTGCTGAACACGACTGAAACAACAACAGTAACCAAGAGAAGCTGGTGCTTGTTCTAGAGATGGCGCTGGGGGTGGTTGGGAGTCAGACCTGGCTCCTAGAGAAAAGAGTACAAGTGGGGAAAAAAATGATTTCTTTCACCTTTTACTTACCATACTCAACTTTCCCCTGCTAAAGCCAACCTACGTAAGTGGTGGATTAGTCCCAAACGCACAGGGATAGGAACTGGATCTTCGGTTTCACGGATGCCGGGAACTCGTGGTTGGCACATTCTCTGTGACTTTTAGTCTTAGGGGGCTGCAAGAACACTGAGAGATTGTGACTAGCCCAGGTCACACAGTCTGTGTCAGAGGCTGAATTTGAACCCAAGTCTTCTTGACTTTATAAGCTTGTGTGCACCGTACACAAGGCTGCTACTTTTCCCCTTATTCCATGTGTGAACTTCTTGACCACTGAGGACAGGTTGGTCCTTTGACTATATCATACAGAGTATGGATGACCTAGAATCATTGACTACTAGAAAGACAGTGTAGTATAATTCTGGACTTGGAGTCAGAGGACTTGAGTTTGAATTATGCCTCTGACATGTACTGGATGTGTGTTTCTGGCCAAGTCCCTTACTCAACCTTGAGCCTTATTTTATAGATGAAGAAACTGAGGCTTGTACTACCTACCTTATAGGGTTGTTGTGAGAAAAGTGCTTTGTAAATTTTAAACATAGGCAGAGACACATTCTCACATGTGTTTAATATTTAAAACAAGAAATATAGGACCTATGTAAGTAAAGTGCATTATATATTATTTATACTTTTGTTGTTGTTCAGCCATATTTGACTCTTTGTGACCCCATGGACCATAGCATGCCAGGCCCTTCTATCCTCCACTATCAAAGTCTGTCCAAGTTCATGTTCGTTATTTCCATGACACTATCCATCTTATCCTCTGCCCTCCCCTTTTCCTTTTGTCTTCAATCTTTCCTAATATCAGGGTCTTTTCCAATGAGTCCTGTTTTCTCATTATGTGGCCAAAGTAAGCTTCAGCTTCAGTATTTGACCTTCCAGTGAATATCCTCAATTAATTTCTGTTAAGTATTGGCTGATCTGATTCCCCTTGCTATCCAAGGGACTCTCAAAAATCTCCTCCAGAATCACAATATGAAAGTGTGGATTCTGTGTTGTCCAGTTTTCCTTATAGCCCAACTCTCACAGCCATACATTGCTACTGGAAAACCATAGCTTTGACTTTATGGACCTTTGTTGGTAAGGTGATGTCTCTGTTTATACTCTAAGTAGTGAGTCATTATTAGAGACAGAAGGAACCTAGTCAACCAACCCTTTCATTTGACCAATAAAGAAGCTAAGCCTCCAGAAAGGGAAGTGATTTTCCCATTGTCATACAGTAAATCTGTGGTAAAACTGTGACCAGTGGCCTGAGAGTTGGAGAAGACTTTACTACACTGTCTTTCTCACGTCTATGCTTGAGCTCTTGGGCCTGGTCTAGATCTGCAAACCTGAAACAGAGCTACAGTTGGAGTGATAGGGGATGGCAGGCCCTCATATAGGTCTTGGTACAGGCTTAAATGAGAGGCTTGGTCCAGATGACCAGGTTCAGTCCATTTCTTTGATACTTTGAGGAGCTATAATTTCGTTATTGTGGGCACTCCCATTATGGACATAGTTTGCAACTTTTCTCCATCTTAGATGGTTTTCAACATTTGTTGTAGTAGAAAAATGTATCACACCTAGGCCAACCTGGTAATGATGAGACTTCTCAAACTTAGCTAAGCTGATCCTTGTATCTCTCTCTCTCTCTCTCTCTCTCTCACACACACACACACACACACACACACACACACACACACACACACACACAAACACTCACTCACTAACTCACTCATACGGAGTCCACACTCAGAGCCTCTCTGCTGGGGAGGCCCTCTCACAACTTGTACTATACTGATAGGACCTTTGAAAACCCAGGGTCACTTATCCAGGCCAGGATGAGGCATTAGACTGGGATTTTAGTAGAAGCCTCTAGCTCTAATATTTTAGAATTTTATGGTTTTCTCCACACGATAGAAGAGAAGGCAGGCGGCAACAGAAGGAAGGGCTGCTTCTGGGCTGCCTTTTAGATGATCTGAGACAGGGGCTATTAACATTTTTGGGTATTTTGCAGCCCTTTGGCAGTCTGGTGAAGCCTATGGACACCCCAGAATCATGTTTTTAAAGGCATAAATAGGATACATAGGATTACAAAGGAAAAAAATTATAATGAAAAGTTACATCAAAATACATCTTTTTTCAATGACTGCCAGTTAAGAACCAACCCCTCTTCGGCTTTTCCGCCCACTCCCTCTTCTATCCCCCCTCTCAAGCTCCGCTTTGGATGCATTGCGCTCACGCCGAGCTCCAGACCCCACACCGCTAGCCGCTTGCCCTGCTGCAGCCGCCTCCCTCCTTCCGCCGCCAGGATCATCTATCCAGACCGCATCAGCCAGGAGATATTCTCTGACCTCTCCGCCGGGAGATCGCGGCGCCAACTGTCTGTGCCGGAAGGTGGAAGGGAAGACGGCCACTAGGCAGAGGGTACCATTGATGATTCACTCATCGGTGGAAATGCCTCTGCTAAAGATCCTGAGGGTGAAGGAACAGAAGCCACTGTAATCACTGGAGTTGACAGAGTAATAAACTATGATCTGCAAGAAACTAGTTTTACAAAACAATCTTATGAGCAATGAGAACATCGGAGACTACATGAAATCAATCAAAGGCAGACTTGAAGAACACAAGCTAGGCAGAGTAAAACCATTTACGACCCGAGCTGCAGAACAAATCAAACACAGCCTTGCTATTTTTTACAACAATAAGTTCTTCATAGGCAAAAACATGAATCCAGATGGCATGGTGGCTCCCCTCGACTTCTGTGAGGATGGTGTGACTCCATATGTGATTTTCCCTAAAGATGGTTTAGAAATGGAGAAATGTTAACAAATTTAGTTGATTACTTTGAATAACCTGTCATCATAATTGGCTGCTGCTTTTTGCCATCTACACAACGTCAGGACTTGGAAAAACTTGGACTGATGTCATCTTGAGCTTTATTTATTTTTGACCTTGATTTATTTAAAGTGGAGGCGTTGTTTTTAAAAACATGTCATGTAGGTTGTCTACAATAAAACGAATTTAACTTCTCCCCCTTCCCCAAAGGAAAAAAAAACTGTATTTGGAGACATCCTGGAGGCTATTCTGGGCCCAGTTCTTCTGGCTGGTCTTTTAGTCATTGCTCTTATCATTAGCATATGGCTATTTGTGTTCCTTGCTAGAAAGAGTGTAGGTGTAGGGGAGAGGAGAATTTACCCCTTTAGGTTAGGATGTCTTTAAGGTCTGCGTATGTACACATTTGTGTTTTTGCACAGCAAGGGAACATGGCAATGTAAGCTGGTGGTTGAACAAGGCTTAGGAGTTTCGATCTCCTTATCCTCCCTTTGTCCTCAAACCTCAACCCTGTTGTGTTTGTTAATGGAGTATAAATAAGGTATTTTCTGGGCTGACTCCACCCAACAGGTGGAGTTCAGGTTCAACTCAAGAAAGATCAAGGATTGATCTGATGGTATTTCTTCTGTTCATATGCATTCTCTTAATCAGCAGTTTGGGCATTTTTCAAATAGGACTGGCAGCACGGAATTCCCATCATTGCAAAGGAGTTGAGGAGAAGCAAAGGGGTTCATCAGAGATATTGTCACTACTTCCAGTCACACAGGACCTTCCTGGGAGCAGCATGTCAGAAGGAGTGAGTACCCATAGCTTCTCTCCTTTAGCTTCTCTTTCTTCTCTTTTCCTCTAATTCTCCCATCACCTGGTCTAAGAGAATAGGCACACACCACGGGAGCTTGGGCCTCATTTCCCACAGACTGCATGCTGTAGTCAGCCCAGACATCCACTCACAAGGTGAGGACTTACCTTGTACTCATATTTCTGACCCTATGAACAAGCACACATTTAAGGGACCAAATAGGACCTTTCAGGTTGCTTTTTCAGAGTAATCTGGCTTTGTTTCTCCTTGTTCTTCATCTCTCCTTCCAATTCTCTACTTTCTTCCCCCAGGAAGGAATATTCCGGACAGTCTCTGAGGAGGAGCAAGAACTGCGTTCCAAGCTGGAGCGACTCACGACCAAGGACCATGGGCCTGTCTTTGGAAAGTGTAGCCAGGTGCCCCTACACACCATGCAGAAGGTAGAGGAGATCAGTGTGGGAGAGGGGAAAAGTGGGATAGAAAATCACTGGATCATAATGTCATAAATTTGAAGTTGGAAGGCCATTTCAATCAACTGTGTGATTTTGTAGATGAGGCTCAGAGTTGTTGAGTTAATTTGGCCAAGGAGGACATACAGCTAGTAAGTATCAGAGGAAGGATCTGAACCCAGGTCTTCCTGACTTTAAGTCCAACATTCTGACCACTATACCATGCTGCCTTTCTAAGTCAGGGGAGGCAGTGTCCTAGCAAAAGCAACACAATGTGCTTGCAAAGGCAATGGCCCAGCATCCTTACATGTGTAATTTGTTTATTCGTTGCCCGGTCCCTGAGGTGCTCAGCTGAGGCTAGATTATTTCAGTCCAGAAGGTCTGACTACTTCTAGGGTCACCCTGAGTGTATAGGCCATAACTGTAGGACAGACACGTAGTATTACTGAGGGTGATATGGTTTGCCCTAGATCAAGACTAATTCTCTTCCATCCCATCTTATATCCTGTTGCCAGGAAGTTCTGAAACCAACTCATTTCCCTAGGATTCTCTAGATTAAAGATCTCTAAAGAAGGTGGAATGAGGTAGTGTGTATAATAAAAGTACATTAAGCTACATGTTGGATAATAATCAGAGGGAAAGGTTGAGAAAAAAAACCACCCCCAACACACTTTTGTCTATAGGGCCTTAGACCTCTGTGTAGGTCTGTGCAGCAGTTTCCCAAGAATGGGAGCTCCCATTTGATCTGAATACCTCCTCTCCAGCAACACCCCTGAGATGAGGCCCTCTGGATGGTTAGAAAACCCTCTTCCCATCCTAGTGCACTAAACCTATTTTATTAGGAAAGCAGTGTACAGGCAAGAGCCAGGTGAGACAGCTGACTGCCCTCAGAGAACCCTAGGAATATGATTCTGGAGCTGCAGTGTGATGAGGGGGGAAGTATGTCACTCCCTCTGGTCTGATGACAACAGGCTTCTCCTGAGGCAATATTATAAGGCTTTTGGTTGGATTTGTATGAGGATCTTGGGGCTAGGTGGTATTTGCTTAAAATCCTCACTTTTGAAAATGGTGTAATTTGGAAGTGTCTGTTTCTTAGTTATACATTGAAAATAAGGACAGTATGTGAATTTCCTCCAATTTGCCCCAAATGTGAGATTTTGAAGTTCAAATGAGGATGTTGCTTGAAAAAAAGATTGTACTCTTGGAGGAAGAAAATTGATACTTATGCATTTGGCAAAGTCCCCATTTTCCACGTAGGATTCATAACCTGTCACCCTAGCCTAGACTGTGCTAAAGCCTGTTAGCCTTGTTGAATATGGAACTTGGCTCCTTAGAAGGATCAGTTTCCTTTTTCCCCCAAGTCTTTTATAATGGATACTATGAAGTTTAGGGACATTCCTCTCCTATAGCACTTCCTTCTGTCTTCAATTCCAGGCCAAGGATGAGCTCAATGAGACAGAGGAAGCCCGGGAGGTGGCCGTGAGGGAATTGCGGGAAATGGTTCAAGAACGAGCTGATTCTGGAGATGACATGGGTCGATTGGTGGCTGAGAAAGTACAGGGGAAGGAAAATGACTTCTTCCTCCGTTTTGTTCGGGCCCGAAAATTTGATGTCAGCCGTGCCTATGACCTTCTTAAAGGTGAGGCTGGGCACCAGTCCTTGGAGCAGGATGTGTTTGGGGGGAAATTGATTGAGCAAGGCCTTTTAGGACAGTGAGCCTTCCCATACCAAAGCCCAGCACCTTTCTGCCTTCCTGGTTGTATCCTTGCAGCCCCATTTAGAACTCTTTATGCCACTTACAGGTTGTGTGAACCTTGATTTTTTTTTTTAAATTTGTAAAGTAAAGTGGTTATATTGGATGGCCTCTAAGGCAAGGGTGGGAACCTGTGGCCTTGGGACCTCATGTGGCCCTCTAGGTTCTCGAGTTCAGCCCTTTGACTGAATCCAAACCTCACAGAACAAATAGGCCGTGTGTGGCCTCTAGGTTGCAGGTTCCCCACCCCTGCTGTAAGGTCTCCTCTGGCTCAGACACGCTGGGATTCTGTCCTGAAGGCACTATCACTACTACGCTGTTTACTCTTTCCTTCACTAGCTGGTTTCAGCTTTTCTTCTCCTACCACAGGGAATTGTGGAATGGAACTAGGTCATAGAATTGGGGCAATGTGCCTAATCAAATAGGGGTACTTCTTCTCTCTGGCTACCTAGACCTCAAGGCTTAATCTTCAGGTTTGTGAATATTGCAGCAAGAGGAGGGAAGAGAGAGTAGAGCTCATTGGGACAAGTGTCTTAGCTCCTGGGACAGGAAATTTTTTAATGGGCTAACTGGATAAGGATGGCACATGTCAGGCTATCATTGCCTAGATTAAAACAAACACTGCAGAATGACACATTTCCCTTCAACCTTTCTCAAGTAGGTAGTCCCATTGCTTTGGAGGGTTTGCTCTAAGAGTAATGTCTGCACGAAGCATGACAAACTTTCCCCCTGCCTCCCAAGGCAGGGCCATAACTAGAAGTTTTTGCTCTTTGGTCAAGTCACATGAAATCTGTTCTCCAGTGCTTCTAGGGAGGCCACCTGTGAAGTGAATGTCCTAGCACAAAACCCTGGCCATCCCTAATCTTCTCAAATTATAGCTCTGCCAAAGAAAAATGGCCTAACTTGGCTCAGCATCAACATCAGTGAGACTGGATTTAAGCCCAGTAGATCAAAAATCTCTGAAACCTTTAAGTGAAAAAGAGTACAAGCTCCTTCTGCAGAAGATCTCCAGGGATGGGACAAGGGGACAGGCTAGCTAGGACTGTGTTTGGTTTCTTTCCTCTCACCAATAGGTTATGTGAATTTCCGACAACAATACCCTGAGCTTTTTGAAGATCTGTCACAAGAAGCTGTTCGTTGCACCATTGAAGCTGGTTACCCAGGCGTTCTCTCTAGCCGGGATAAGTATGGTCGTGTGGTCATGCTCTTCAACATTGAGAAATGGGACTATGAGGAAATTACTTTTGATGAGGTCAGCAGGGGGCAGCAATTTCTCTGTTACATTCAACCTCACTCTGGTGTGGGCCAGTTACTTTGGGTTATACTCCTGTCTTCCGTGAACTTTTTGGCAATACTGACTAAATAGGACACCTATTCAATATTAATTAGAAATATAACATTCCATGACCCGCTCTCCAGAAATGCTTCCCCATTCACTCAATAACTTGGCATATTAATTCACCCTTAAACTACTGTTTCTTATATATGTAACAGACATTCCTTAATTAATTGCATTCCCTCCAGATTCTCCTTATAACAGAAAAAAAACCCAGTTAAACAAAACTAACCAATGACTTGCATCTGACAGGGTTTGCGACATGTGTCACCCAGAAACTCCTACCTCTCTATCAAGATGAGGAAGGTGTATATCATCACCTGTCCTCTGTAGCCCACTGCCTAAAAGGTTGTTTTCACTCACATTGTTGTAATCGCCGTGTGTGATGTATTCCTGGTTTGCTTTCTTCATTTTGCATCAGTTCATACAAGCTTTCTCATCTTTCTCCAAATTCTTCATATTCATTACTTCTGACCAAGCAGTAATATTCTACTAATTCACATACCACAATTTTTTCAGCTGTTCACCGATCAGTGGGTACTCACTTTGTTTTCAGGTGTTTTGTTATCACAAAAATGCTGCTATGCAGTCTTATTCACGTGGGACTTGTCTTTGATTTGCTTGGGGGACACGTGATGACTGAGTAAAAGGTCATGAATAATTTAGTAAATTTTCTCACACAGTTCCTAGCTGTTTTCCAGAATGGTTGGACTAAGTCACTGTTCCACTAATTATGTCTGAGTGTGCTTGACTTCCTACAGCACATCTAATACTATTTCTGTCTTTTCTTATCTGTGCCAGTTTCATGAGTGGGAAGTGAAACTCAGAGCTATTTTAATTTAAAATTCTCTTGTTATTAAAGATTGGAAGTATTTTTTTTCATTTTTCTTCTGAAAACTGTTCAAATCCTTTGACCATTTATCTATTGGGATGATAATTCTCTCTTCCCTGAGGAAAGGTAGAAAGACTGGGATGAGTTCTCTCTTTCCCCTTCCCTTTGTCCCTCTTCCCCTATTCCTACAATTCCAGGGCAGTCATCGGAGTTGGGCAGTCATCGGAGTTTTCAGGGGCCTCTTTTATTCTCTCCCTCCCGCTGATAAAGTACAGGTCACCCCACAGGTTATTTGACCAATGTTCAGCTCCTCTCTGGGGCAGTCCATCCCTGGAACAGAAACACCTTTGTATGAATTAAAGTATTTGTTCCCAACAGGTAAGCAGAAACACCAGACCCACAAGGTATTAGAAGAAGGAACTCAGTCCTGGACACTAATAATGTAAAGAAAGATTCTAGGAGTTGGATGAGTAAATGGCTTTGTCTAGAAGGAGGAAGTCAGTATATATCCCAGGTTCTGGAATCTCCCCAGACACAGTACATTGTAGCAAGACAACTTAAGCTTTCCTCATTTCCTCCTCTCTCTTTTGTGCTGAAGATCCTGCAGGCATACTGTGTCATCCTGGAGAAGCTACTGGAAAATGAGGAAACCCAGATTAATGGCTTTTGCATTGTTGAGAACTTCAAGGGCTTCACCATGTACCAGGCAACAGGCCTCAGGCCCTCAGAGCTCAGGAAGATGGTGGACATGCTCCAGGTAAGGTCACATTTACCTCTCTCCTCAATTATTTTTTATAGCTCTTAGATTTATCCAAAAGAGATCTAAAAAAGTCACCTCTTTTATCTTAAATAGATAATCTTTAAATAAATAATCTTTAACTAGAACTAGTGAATCCAGTCTGTTTTTTAAACCCTCCAGCGCAGAAGACTACATGTCTTCCCCTGGTAACCCATTGCAGTGTTTAACTCTATTATAAGGAAAGTTCTTCCTAATAACTTGCCGAAATAGCAAACTCCTTATATCTAACTCCTTTTCTATGTAGGACTGTGAAAGGATGGGGGACATGTGGCAGAATGAGGTAAAATAAGATAATCTTGGCAGTCTATAAAGTGAATCAATTCACTCAGCAGGCAGCTGGCAAAGCTTGGATATTTAAAATGACAAGGTACCTGAAAATGAATCACTTTTCTATTTATGTCTTGCTGGCTCCACCCAATAATGATTTATTCCAAGTGACACTTGAGCTGGCAGGATAACAGAAGCTATCCTTCCAGCAGGTCCAGCACACAGATATTTAGAAGGGGTGTAGGGACTCCTGGGTCCTCTTCTTGGAAGGACTATGGTGGGCAAGTCACTTCTTCACTCTGTGTTTGCGTCCCTGCTGACTTAGGCAAACACGGGGCAAACGGCTCTTTCAACTTGGGCCTTTCCTGGGGGGTGGTGAGGACAGGTGAAAAGAGGAGAACCACTCAAGGAGATGGGAGAGGTTATCTCTTTGTTTCTGCAGGACTCTTTCCCAGCCAGGTTCAAAGCTATCCACTTCATCCACCAGCCATGGTACTTCACCACCACCTACAATGTGGTTAAGCCTTTCTTAAAGAATAAACTTCTGGAAAGGGTGAGTATGAGAAGGCTGCAGTTTACTGAACTGAATGTCAGGGCTGGGAGCCCAAACTGGGCCCACCAAGGGCTCTGGCCAGTGGTCACAAAGCAATGAACTATAATGATGTCCAAGTCATAAGACTCAGATTACCAAATGGACATAGGCTGAGGGAGAAAATGTCCATCATATCAATCGGTCAGTCAACAAACATTTACTAAGGTGTACTATGTGCCAGGCACTATGCTAAGAACTGGGAATACGGAGAAAGGCAAAAATATGGTCCCTGCTCTCAAGAAGCTCACATCCTGATGCCAGAATCTGTTATCTCACCTTCTGATCTGAAAATTTCAACTTTAAAGTAACTTCATGACTATGTTCAATTTAACAAGTCTCTACTATGTGTGGAGTACCATACAACAACAACAACAAATTGTAATAAGAACAGTCAATTTCTACCCTACCCAACAGGGAGCCAATGAAAACTTCTGTGCAGAGTATGCAGACGAGGACGGCGATACGTCAACATAGATAACTATGATACACAATAGCGCATGGTAAATACAGTAAGAGGTTCATAAAACCAAGTGCTATATGAGGTCTTGAAGGAAAGTCATTATCACCTAAGGAGCTCAGGGAGGGCTTCCTGAAGGAAGTGGAATTTGGCTTGTATGTTAAAATATGGGCAGGAGTCCATCAAGTAAAGAGAAGAAAAACAGACATTCTGGATAAAGGGAACAGAGTAAGATGAAACACAGGGCACATTTGGGGGACATAGTGGTTCAGTTTAGCTGCTGTGTGGAGTGTGTGGAGAGGACTCCTATGGAATATGGCTAGAAAGATAGGGTGACCCTATCAGGGTGAGGAATCTGTGGCCTCAAGGCCACATGTGGTCTTCTAGGTCCTTGGGTGCAGCCTTTTGACTGAGTGCAAGTTTTACAGAACAAATCCTTTCGTGGAGGGGATTTGTTCTGTGGAGTTTGGATTCAGTCAAAGGGCCACACTTGAGGACCTAGAGGGCCACAGGTGATCTCGAGGCTGCAGGCCCCCCACCCCTGCCCTGGACGGTGGAGAACCTTGAATGTTGAGCAAAGGAGTTTGAATTTTACTTAGCAGTCAATATAGAACCAATGAAAATTTCTGTTCAGAGAAAGGAACATAACCAGTTCTATGCACAAGGAAGATCATTCTGACAATGGTATTAAGTCTAGATAGGGAGAGGAAAAGGAGAGATGGGAAGATCTGTCAAGAAATAGTGCAGGTAAGAGGTAAGACATAAGAAGGCCCAGACTAAGATGATGGGAAGAGAATAAACATTTATTAAGTTTCTTCCGTGTACCAGGCGCCATGCAAATATTATCTCATTTGATCTTCACAACAACCCTAGAAAGTAGGTGCTATTATGGCCCCATCTTGCAGTTGAGGAAACTGAGGCAGGCAGAGGTTACAGTCACACAGCTATTAATTGTCTGAAGTCAGATTTGAACTCCGGTCTTCCTGGTTCCAGGCCCAGTGTTTTATCCACTGTTCCACCTAAGTTTTCCAATTGGTGGCAGTAGAAACAGAGAAAAGGGGCCAGAAGCTAGAGATATTGCCAAGATAGTCTTGATAACTGAATATGAGAAGTGAGAGAGAGAGAGAAAAGACTTGTGGTGCATTAGGCTGAGTGAGGGAGGTTGGGGCACAAGATATGTGTTATTGAGGGGGAGTCAAGAAGATTATACCCTGCCCTATCCCCCCTATTCCCTCATCCAGGACATCTTCATTGCCTCACCTTAGGTCTTCATTCATGGAGATGACCTGCAGACCTTCTTCCAGGAGATTGATGAAGACATACTGCCTGCTGACTATGGAGGCACACTGCCCAAATACGATGGCAAAGTCGTAGCCGAACAGCTATTTGGACCCCGAACTGTGGCTGAGGACACTGCCTTTTAAGAAAGCCTACTTATTACTTCCCCCAGGGACCCCAGCGATCCTTTCTCTCTGCCTGTCCTGAAGGAAAACAGTTGTCTGATGAATTGTTTGTGCGAGTGACTAGGCATATATTTTTGTTGTTGTCTATGTACGTGCACATCCATGTCTTTCTCCACATGCGTAACCCCAGGCAGTATCAGATATCTCTGTCTTGCCCACACTGAGCCAGCAAAACGGAGAGAATCTTCCTATATGTCTAAAACTGGAGGACAGTCTAACTTTCTAGCTGTCACTTAAACTACGGGGCAAGGGTGGAATTAAGAAAGGGTGGCACAGGGGAGAGAGAAATATAAACATTGACCCATTTTTTTTTTACAACTCTGATAAAAACAAGCTGTTCACTGCTGGCTACTCCCACTGCGGCCTTCCAAGGGACTGTACAAGCGTCTCCTCTTTAGACAGAGACCTTGAGTTGGCAGCCTTGACTTGACCCCAAGTCATTGCCCTTGCAATGAGTGTGATGTAGATCATCATACTTACAGGTAGCTTTTTGGAGTACATATTTGGGGAAGTCTGGGGGCGTATAAAGGCTGTAAAAGGTAGACAAAACACCAGTGCACATTGTAGTTACAGTCAATCATTTGACAAATGGTTATTATCACCTGAGTCTGCACCTTAGCCATATTTTGATTCACTCCTTGACTTCTTGGGTAGTCTCTTTTTAGACCCAAGTCCTTGAGGAAAGCAAAGTCCCTTTAAGCTACCTGATCCCTGGGATCTGGCTGTTCTATTATTTACTCCTGGCTGCAGGCCCAGGAGCTCTTGAACTTTCTCCTACTTTCCTAGGGAGCCCTGAATAGGTCAGTTCCTTGTCCAATAGTCCAAAGACTATTGTTTGACTGACTCTTATTCTTCACCATTCAAAATCTCCCTAGTTTCTTTCCCTCACCACCTTTTACCTCTTTCCCCAGACTAAATAAAATTTCTGAGTTACTAACCATGTGACCTAGGACTAATCATTTAACCTCTCTGGGTAGTGTCTTTATCTGCAAAAGGAGGAGTTTAGAGTAGATCAGAGGTGTCAAACTCAAGGCATAAGTGCTTGCAAAACTCCCAACTGCATCCCAAACCAGATTAGGATGTAATTGGAAAATATTTAACAAAATAAATAAAATATAATTTAATATGGATGATGTTAATTTGTGGTTTTTTTCTAAGTCAATATGCAGCCCTCTGGGATCTTTGAGTTTGACATCACTGTCTAGATAATCTTAAATGTTCTTTCTAGTTTAAAATCCTATGATTCTACCTCTCCTATTCATTCCTGGGCCCCTTTTTTCATGTCTTGGCACATATTTGAGTCTGCCATATTTTACTTGCAGTTTTAGTTCCTGTCAACAAATAATAACTACTCAATTTATATGACACTTTAAGTACATTCTCTAGCTGAGAAAACTGACTCTCAGAGAGGTCAGTGACTTGCTCAAGGTTCCAGAGCTCGCAAGTGTGAAAGCCAGGATTTGAACCCATCTTCTTAGTTCAGTACTCTTTATTGTACCGTACTCTGTCTTTTAGCCATCACACATTTATACTTTCAAAATAGGTATATTTACACAAGGCTGCTTCTTTTCTGTCTATACCTTCCATACCAAAGGGGTTACTCTTAGATTAAAGATATAATGAGAAAAGGGGACAGACAATTCATCAGTTACCCAGTGCCTTTACCTGGGCAGATGCTAGCTTGATTTCTAGGGTCCTATTCTCTCTGCTGTAGTGATATATATATATATAGCTCATGTGTTAGTGACAGCTGAGTAGTCCAACATTAAAAAGAAAAATCTGCCTTTGTGGTGCATTAAGCTGAATGAAGGAGGTTGGGACACAAGATATGCATTATTGAGGGTGAGTCAAGAAGACAAAATTGTCAGTTCAGGCCCCTGCTTTCCCAACTAAGGTTCTATCTAGAGAAAGGACCTGGAGATCAGGAATCAGACACAAGGAAATAATGCCAGTTTATTGGATTAATTTCCCTGAGTCTTACATGTATTTGGTGGAGGAAGAACAAAGGATAAAGGGGGACTGAGAAAAGATACTGTTGCACATGGTTGGTAGAAAGAAGCTACAACCTAAGGAGCAGAACTAAGACTGGGATGGAGGGCACTAGTCGATGGCCCTTTTATTTGATGCAGTATATACTTTTACAATAGCATTTGGAGCATTCTCAGAGTTGCCCCTTTCCTGGTTTTGGCTGATCAGCATTTGGGTGGAGTTGGAGATGATGAACTCCCAGGCTCAGAGGCAATCTTGTGAGTGGGAGAGGTCTCCACAGCCTGGGTCTAATGAGTGGAGCTGACTGGAGGCAAGGGAAGATTCTGCATGGAAGAAGTAAACCTAGAGGAGGAGCTCGAGCCTGTGGCCTGGCTTGCCAGACGATATGGGCTTGAGGGTGAAATGTGCAATGCCTAAACAGCAGTCCTACAAACTGCATCATGTTTAGATGGTTTTGAGTGTCATCTTCCCTCTGGGTATAACAGTAGTTAGCACTGCTTCTTGTTTAGCTTAAGTCTTACTGCCACTATGCTTGTGAGAATCTTTTATGTTTTAGCATCATTTTGTGTAGGAAATAAATACCTGCCCCACATCTGACTCATACTGTACATTGAACACCTTTCTATTTTCCCTGTTGGGGAATAGAAGTGAATTTGAATCTAAGCTTTCAATAATTTGTCCCCAGAAGGATGGGGTAGGACATTTTCCCAGGCTCCCCAAGGATTGAATATGGTGCATATCATGTGCCTTAGTCAAGAGTAGAGAAGCCTCTTAGGGGAGAAGGGTGAGTGCCCCAGCCCCTTGAGAACAGAAGCAGTTCTCGATGTTAGAACAAGGTCAGAGCATCCTAGAGCTTGAAGGGCCTTCAGAGGTCATTTACTCTAACCCCTTCATGTGATAGAGAAGGAAACAGTCCCAGAGAGGGGGACTGTATAAGTCCCCTGTTGTGACCTGATTAGTGAGACTTGAACTCAAGCTTGCTCATTCCCAATTCAGTACTCCTTTGACTACACCACAGCTGCATCTGCTTTTCAATTAACAACAACAACAACAACAACATATACTATTAGGCATCTACTACATACAGAGCATCATTCTAGGCCACTAGGGAGATTAAAAGTTTAGACAATGTACAATTCTTGCCCTCATGGAGCTTATAGTCCATGGTGCACATGTGTATATATGTGAGTGCATACCCATACATATATACATACACAGATACATACAGATATGGGTAGGATAAGAAATGTACATGAAATTAAATATTAATACATGACAAAGTACATGAGATGCAGGCAAAAGGTTATATTTTTAGGACTACAGACTACCTTTGTAGGTCAGAGGAATCTTTCCAAAGCTGTAAGGCCAAAGGTAACAGAGTTTTCTCATTTCTTTTAAAAGAGGAAAGGGTGTGGTCACACTTGATCGCTTAATAGCTCCTAACTATAACTTTGGATGGGATTTTTGGTAAGTGGGAAGCAAAGCCAGCACTAAGGATAGGCCAAGGTAGGCAGCTGCCAAGGGTGTAACACACAGAATGCCATAAAAGGCATTTAAGATTATTTTTATAAACACACATTTTCTAATGTCAAAAAATTCCATTGTCCATGGCAAGGTGGTAATTATTTGCAAAGTCAAGAAGTCTCAAAGCCTCCATAGACACATCAGAAAAGATTCAGTTTTCAAACATTCTTTTTTTTCCCCTTCCATTTTTATCCATCCTAATTTTTCTTTTAATTTTTGGCTGCCATCGATTGGTCTTAGGCAAGTGTATCCAAGCGTATGGAGGGAGAGTGCTTGATAAAATACAAACTATGTGGCCCAGTTTTGCTGTTGTGGGGAATAGTTTTATTACTTGTATGTGGGGTTGTTTTTTTTTTTTATAATTTTAGGAAAATAAACTCTGCTCTAATGTGTTCTTTGAATTTTAAGTAAAATAAATCAGATAACAGGAGACTACACAAAATAAAAAGAAATAAAGAACCCTGTTCACACTTTCCCTACAGCCTGACCTAACCCTCAATCTTGTTCTCAGATTTAGTAAGACGTCTTTTTTTCTTTTCATTTCTAAAACATTTTCCTAGTATTGATTGTTGTGTTTTCAGAGTTTTTTCTTTCTTCTCAACACACACACACACACACACACACACACACTCTTCCTCTCTCTCTCTTTCCCTCCCTCCTCCTCCTTCTCTCTCTCTTTTTCGGTATTCTCTCCTCTCTAATTCTACTGCTTCTCAAAGGCATCTGGTGGCATAATAGAGTATTGGACTTGGAGCATGGAAGACCCAAGTTCAAATACTGCTTCACACAGTTACTAGCTGTGTGACTCTGGGTAAGTCACTTCACCCCTCTTAGTCTCAGTTTCCTCATCTGTAAAATGGACATAATAATAACACCTACCTCACAAGGGTGCTGTGAATTTCATATGTGCAAAGTGCTTTGCAGACTTTGAAATGCAATATAAATTTTAGCTATTTTTGTTATAAGTGATGGAAGCTTTTTGCTTTAGGCTTTCCTCCCCTCTTACTCTATTTCTCTTACCTGCCTATTTACCCACCAATACATTTATAAAGTTCCTGCATTTCCCTGGGAAAGTCCTGGTATTTATCTCTCCCCTTTAGTTTTTCACAAAAACAGCATAGTAATCACCATCTTTACAACATTTTGATAATTCTCATATAAATACGAATATAAAAACAACAAAAAGATTTTTTACATGAAAATTTCTCCTGAGAAAGGGAAGGTGGTAGGTGCCAGAGAGAGGCAAGCTGTACCACAAATGACCTCCTAGGAGCATGGATACAGAACAGTAGTGGCAAAAATATTAGCCAATACTTTAAGGTTTAAAAAAAAATAACATTTCATTTATGAGACAGTTACTACAGGTATGATCATCTACATTTTAATTAATGAGCATACTGGGGTCAGGAAGACTGAGTTCAAAGTGGTGTCTCAGACACTTACTGCCAGCAGCCGGTGTGGTGCAAGACAAAGAGGTGAAAGAAAAACAGGGAAGGGGAAATGGAGAAAGAAAAGTTGGGCTAGGCGAGTCTGAGATTAATGCTCAAGACTAGTTTATTTCAGGTGTTTCATGATTATATACCCATAGAAAACAGCTTTGTACCTCGAGAAATGATCTACAAGCGCTAATTAATAACATAAACAATCTAAGCAGCTAAAGATCCTCATTTTCTTATGAGAAAGTAGTTTTAATGCCAAATTTCATATCTATTGTTTCCCTGCCCAGTTCTTAGTATTATCTGCCTGAGTCAGCCACCTGGCCTCAAGGCTGAGCATGAGTGAGAACTTAGAATCAACAAACCATAACAGGTGGAATTGGGGCAAGAGTCAAGGGAGGATTTATCCCGAGGCAAGCCTCCATAGGTACTGACCCCTTAAGTCTATAAGGACTTAGAGATTTTCCATAAGGACTTGGCTCCCTACATATCCCCCTTTTTTGTTTGTTAATTTAAGCTCCTGTAATTGAGTCGTGTTTAGTTTGATGGTAGCATACATGAATCTCAAAAGGAATGGGAAACAAAAACAAAAACAAATTAGGCCAGGTGCCATAGGGGAGCACTTGCAAAAGCAAGGATATACTTGAAAAGGTGAAAGTTGGCGTAATGTGGACAGGATAACATTAGCTACTTTATTGGGGTCAATCCCACGACGGGGACTGTTTTCAATGTTGGAAGTAATATCATGAAGGGTATTAATATTGAGGGTAATATTAGAATTGTGCCAGGCCCCCAGTAGGTGGGCACACATCTTGTTTCATGAGATATTAGGATCTGAAGCATCATAGGGTAGCAGGGTAACATAAATACATGAATATCTGTAATCACATCACAAAAGCAACCTTGTTTTCAAGGTTTCTAACTCATCTCCTAAATACAGTACTGATTGCTCTAATAAATTGACTTTATACAATATATCTCTCAATAGCTTCTTGTGCTTTAAGTGCTAAACTTATATTTTTTGCTGAGTCATTTACAAATTATGTAGTTTTAATTTCAGATTGTAGTGCAATAGATGAAACAGTAGTGGATACAATAAGAGAAGCAACA